AGGAGGAGGAGGAGGAGGAGGAGCATAGGGAGGAGCAGGAGGTGGCCGCCACCGCTTTGAGAATCCCCCATTCAGGTGAAGTCACAGACTGGGAGAGACGCGCCGTGGAGAACAAACCGCCGCACGTGGTCGGACATCATTTGGAAGATCCTTGCTTTAGGCGAGACTGTGTGCCCTCTCTTCCAAGTGCCGTTTGCAAACGAGAAGCTGCTGAAGTTAGACTGGCCGCGCGTCGTTGACCTTGGAGCGGCGGCTGACTTCATCGGCGGCTTGGTCTGGTACCTCGTAACGCACAGAAAGGTTGCAGGAGCTGCTCAGAAAGCCCGCGTGCTGACGCTGCATCGTCATCTGATGGCGTTCTACGACAGGCAGCCGCCAGGTGAGAAGACGAGCCGCTTGCCGAAGCTGACGCGGGGCGTCGTGAAGGGGAAGAAGGCGAAGACGGCTAAGATGAGGTGCGGCGCGGGGATGCTCAGGCACATGGTTCCATGGGCGATGGAAATTGCGGATGCATTCCTTGATCGTCGGGACGGCGCCGACCAGCTGGCAGGCATGCAAGCAAGTCTGGCACGCAGGCGGCAGCTACGCAGGTGGCAGCTTTGGAAGACGCGCCCCCAAAGCATTTCAAAGTTAAGCCGAAAATGCACATGTTCCAGGAGCTCTGCATGGAAGGCGGCGAGCCAGCGAAACACTGGAATTACAGGGGCGAGGATTTCGTTGGATCTGTAGCTGCTTTTGGCCGAAGGCGGGGTCAGAAGAGATCCATGAGGGCATTTTCGCCGGCATGCGTCGCGAAGTTCTGTGGCCGACCGATTATGCGCATGCTTTGAAAGAAACACCTTGGGCATCATCATTGTCGTCGTGTACGAAGCCCCTCCCCGCTGGGGTTTTGAGACCCCCCCCCACCTGGGGCTCAAACCAATTTAAAGCAACAATCTTGTATCGAATTATTTTTCCCTGCGGAAAAAAAAGATCAACCCAAACAAAAGTTCCACCCCCGCGCAATAGTGCAGCCGGGCATTATAGCACAACTTTGGAATCTCAAGGCAGGGGGTGCCGGCGGGCCCCGGGCGCCCGACGCCGCGCTCCCCCCGCGGGGCGCTCCGCGCCTGCCCCCGTCGGCCGTCGGGCGCAGGCTGCGAAGTCGGGCCTGTCCCTCGACATGGGGGCATGCCCAAAAATAGTCAAGAATAATTGCCTGGGGGCGATTTGTGTTTGACCATTTTGGAGTATTTCGGTGCATTTTCTGACCGTTTTTCATTTTTCGTCCAAAATCCCCCTGAAGGGGGACAGGCCCGACCTAAACGTAAGCGCGCGCGCTCGGACGCCCAGGTCCCCGCGGGCTTCGGGCGCCCTCCCGTGTTCCAGTCGTCGGGCGGCGTGCCGTGGTCCTTTCTTTCCGGGGGGCGGGCGGGAGTCCACGCGAGTTACTTTCAGCGCATTCCTACGCGATGTAAGTCGGGCATGCCGCTTATACAGGAGGAGTATTCAAGAATAGTTTTTAGGAAATTGTCAGGGGGCAATTTTTCGACTACTTAAGACTATTTCTGATTTGTTTTGGATTATTGCTCTTCCAAAATCCGCCTGTAGCAGGACATGCTCGACCTGGGACTCGACGTATCTACCCACTTCTTCCGACCGATGAATTCCCGAGGGGCGTGGGGCGAAGAAGAGACAACTTCATAACTAAACACATGGCTCTGGCGATCTGACGTTTCCGATATGAGCGTTTTGTTCCTTCGCTTCAGCCTTTCAGGCCGTTACCGGGCCCCGGCAAAATCAAAATCGATCCAGGGCGAAGCAGTCGAACTCGAAGGGGGGGGTTCGAAGAAGAATACTAATACAATTAATCATACATCCAGATCTACGATGTGATGTATTCGATGTGGGCGCTTGTCCATCACTTCGGCCCCTGGGGCCTATTGACGGCCCTGGAACCATCAAAGTATATCTGGGGCCACAAAGTCGAGGTCGATAGGGGAAGTGGGGGATATTTGAAGAAGACAAGCCGCACGAGACCGTATCTTCAACGATCTGATCTTTTCAGCCCAGGCGTGTTTTCTTCAGTTCCTTTTTTCCAGTCCCCGGGACCAATCGAAATTTATCCTTTCGGACGGGGTTAGGACGAGGAAAAATCCGTTCCAGAGCGTTCCATAACGCTCCCAGAGTTTTTTGGAGCGCTCCAAGAAGGCCGCGGCGCCGGACACAATTCTCCAGAGCCGCCAGATCTCAGAGATTCTCGATTTGTCCTCACCCGATGTTATCCTCGTCCTGCTGTTCGACGAACAATGAAGCCGCCCAGAACCCAAGGATACACCAAAGGGTGTCTATTCGGACGCACCTCTATCGAGGATGGACGCCCCCCCGATGGTACATGTCAGGGTTGGGGCCCAAATTTCTGGGGCAGTCGCAACACCCCACGAAGCCTGGGGTAGGGGTCGACAGATCCCCTGTTGCAGGCAAGGTGTCGGGGGCGCCCGGGGCCGCGAGCTGGAAAGAAACCGCCAGACTTCTGGGGAGCTGCTGCCCGCCTGGTGCCCGAGGGGGGGCGCCATGCTTCATCGCAGAGGGTCTTTTTAATGCTGCCTGCCCAAAGACCTCTCGGCTGGCAATGCTCATCCTTCCGCTCCTCGTCCCTCTCCTCCTCGCCCTCGTCCTCGCTGTCCCTCCTCGCCCTCCCCCTCGTGCTCCCCTCCTCGCCCTCCCCCCCGTCCTCCCTAAATATAAGCTTCCGGAGGGCCGCGCGGATTTCCCTTGGGTCGGAGCTGGGCCCCCCTCCAAGTGCCAGGGGCGGGATCCAACGCCGGTCCAAGAAATCGCCCCGGAGCTCCGGAAGCTTGTCGCCGCGAAGTTTGTTCTGGCGCGCGGCCTGACGTTTGGCCCCTCGGCCACCGGGGTAAATCCCGCCTGGGACGCAAGGTTTGCCGTGAGGTTTGCCGCGATGCCAGCTTCGTCTACCTGGGCGCGTTCAGCACAAACGGCGCGACGACTTACGCCGACGCCTCCTAGATGGGGTCGGAGTAGATGGGGTAAGAGGATCGCGCCGCATCGCCGATGCATCGGCGATGCGGCTCGATGGAGAGCCCGATTTTCCTCGCGCCGACGTCGCCGATGCACCGCCGACGTCGCCGATGCATCAGCGATCCGACTTTCTCCACGCCAGTGTCGCCGATGCATCGTCGATGCATTGGCGATGTGGCGCGATCCTCCGACCCCATCTACAGTCGAGGCCCTGAAGAAGGAACCCTTTTCGTTGGGGAGGGGCTCCGCGTCCCTTGAGTGTTTCACAGCTTGCCTCAGGCTTTCTTTTTATGTCTTCGACCGGAAATCGAAGGTTAGCTTATGGAGAAAAGGGGCCTCGTTCCTTATGTAAGGTTCCTGAGGTCAGCGCCCCGACTGTACTCGCAGTCCAGCACCGCTGTTTCGGCGGGTGTGTGTCCACCTTTGTGCCGCCGTGAAAAAAAAAAGGCCTCCAACGAGGCACAGTACGACGGGCCCCAGGGGCCGAAATCAAGGAAAAAAGCCCGCCGGTGGGTCGAGCAAACCTGATCGGCGGAGGGTTGGGTCTGTGTGCGCAGCGGCGCCTCTCGAGCTCGATGCTGTCGCAGCTGGGAGGAGGTCGAGGGTCCTCCAGCCCCCTGCCGCCCCCCCCCAGTAGGGGGCCACACGCGAACCCTACCCCATACCCCCCACGATATTCTAAGGGGGAGGGTGGGGTTCACTCCGTCTGGGAGCTCCCGAGCGAAGTGAACCCCACCCTCCCCCTCAGAAATCGTGGGGGGTAGGGGTAGGGTTCGCGTGTGGCCCCCTGTCGCCCCCCCCCAGGCCCGAGGAGGTGGGGGGTCCTCCGACCCCTGCGCCGTCGTCAGAGCGAAGGGGGCCCAACGGTCTTACGCCAGCCCTGGGTGCGTGGGTGAGGTTGGTTGCCGTGGCCGAGCTTCTGCTTGTTGATTCGCTCGTGTTTGTAGTGCTTTGTTTTGTTGGTTGTTGAACGTTCATGTCTCGAGAAAATTAGAGTTGATCCCCCTTATTCGGTGCCATTGTGGTCTTTCGATCAACGTGCTCCTCCCAGGGCTCGCACCCGTTTTTTTTCACGAAGGAAAATCTTGGGGCTCAGATTGGGTTGCTAGTCCCTAGTTTAAAGCACCAGCGGCTCCCGCCGATACTTCCTCATAATTTGCGCTCTCGCGCAGGACTTCTTTGCAACGTATGCAGGAATCGAGCTCTCGCGTGATGCTTACTCGCAATTTATTATGACGCCGCGCCCTCAACACTCAAGACTCACGCTCTCTGCTTTAGCCTTGCTCACGGTTTACTTGGCAATCACGCTACGGCTCGAGACCTCCTCGCGTTCCATGCAGGACTCAAGCTTCAGCAACCCGCCTGCTCGACCTGGCTGCCTGGGCCCTGCCATCCCGACCCGCCCGTTAGGGTCTACCGGCCCGATCTGCCCGTCTTGTTCTGCCATGTGTTTTCTGCTCCTAGCCCCCCGCCTGCTAATCTCTCTCTTATTCCATCCTTCACCCTCCCCCTTGTCCCTTCCTTCCATCCGTCCTCTCCTCCCTTGGTTTAGGGGCTGCGCCACATGCATGTGGTAGGTAAGGAAGATCTACCCTCAAGTGGATACGATTCAAGACGAAAGATGCGGGCATCGAGGGTTTAGGATATACGTATTGAGTGGCACGCAGGCAGATAAGAGCGAACAGTCTTGAACAGGTTGTTGCTGTTGTCGCCGCCCCCCTCCCCCCCCCGCGACCCTCCCGCGACCCGCCGCGCGACTCACCCCGCGGCCCACACGCGACCCACCCGCGCGACACACCCCGCGCCCGCCCCCCGCTCGCATCCGCAACCGCCGGGTGCTGCGCTGTCTTTCCGCACCTGGAGGAGGAGGAGGAGGAGGAGGAGGAGGAGGAGGAGGAGGAGGAGGAGGAGGAGGAGGAGGGGGAGGGGGAGGGGGAGGGGGAGGAGGAGGAGCTGCTCCAGCGCCTCCCCCGCCCCAGGCCCAGCGGCGGCAGGCGCTGGCGGGCGGAGGCCTCTGAGCGCCTTCGCTCGCGGAGGCGGTGGGCGCAGCCAACGACGCCGACGATGCCGACGGGCGCAGCGACGACGACGCCGGCGGCGGCGACGGCGACAATGACGACGACGGCGACGACGACGACGACGGCGACGACCTCGGCGGAGACGGCGACAGACACGGAGGCGCCGACGGAGACGGCGACGGCGACGACGACGACGACGACGACGGCGACGGCGATGACGACGACGATGGAGGCGGAAACGGAGACGGAGACGGAGATTGCGACGGCGACGCCGACGGAAACGGAGACGCCGACGGAGATGACGACGACGACGGCGACGGCAACGGCGACGGCCTCGACGACGACGACGGCGACGCCGACTGGCGCAGCGAAGACGACGACGACGATGACGGCGACGACGACAATGACGACGACGGCGACGGCAACGATGGCGACGACGACCTCGACGGAGACCGAGACGGCGACAGAGTTGGAGACGGCGACTGGCGGAGGCGGCGAATGCGACGATGACGGCGGCGACAATGACGGCGGCGGTGGCGACGACGGCAACGGCGACGGCGACGACAACGACGACAACGATGGCCTCGACGGAGGCGGGGACAGACGGAGACGGAGACCGAGATGTCGACGGCAACGACGACAACGACGACGGTTGCGGCGGAGACGGAGACGGCGACGACGACGACGACGGCGATGGAGGTGGAAACGAGGACGGAGACGGAGACGTATGCGGCGACGGAGACGCGGGACGAATACTGGGAGGGCGACGGGTACCGAGACGCCGATGGAGACCGAGGCGCCGACGTAGACGGAGACCGAGACGCCGACCGAGACGACGGACGCAAGCCGAGACGGGGTCAGAGACGGGAGACGGGGTCAGAGACGGAGACCGAGATGCCGACGGAGACGACGACGTCAATGGCGACGGCGACGACGACGACGGGGACGGAGACGACGGTGAAGGGCGCAGCGACGACGACGATGACGGCAACGACAACGGCGACGACGAAGATTTCGACGGGGACGGCGACAGCGACGGAGACGGAGATGGAGACGGAGATGCCGACGAAGACGACGACGACGTCGACGACTATTACGACGACGGCGACGGCGATGACAACGACGACGGCGCCGACGACGACGCCAACGACGCCATCAATCCCGACGGGCGCAACGACGACGACGGAGACGGCGATGGCCACGACGACGACGACCTCGACCTCGACGCAGTCGGATACGGCGACGAAGAAGGAGTCGGCGACAGACACGGAGGCGCCGACGGAGACGGCGACGGCAACGATGACGACGATGACCCCGACGGAGACGGTGACAGAGACGGAGATGGAGATGGCGACGGAGGCGGAGATGGCGACAACGGCGACGATGACGGCGACGGGGACGGAGACGGCGACGACGACGGGGATGCCGAAGGAGGTGCCGACAAAGACAACTACGGCGTCGACGACGACGACGACGGCGACAGCGACAGGGACGACGAAACGGCCGCAGCAACGACGACGGCAACGATGGCGGCGACGACGACGCCGACCTCGGCCTCGATGGAGACGGCGACGGACATGGAGACGGAGACGGGGATGCCGACGGCGGGGGCGCGGTGAAGACGGCGATGACGGCGACGGGGATGTCTGAGGAGATGCCGACAAAGACGACTACGGCGTCGACGACGACGACAATAACCTCGACGGAGAAGGAGAAGCAGACGGAGACGGCGACGGAGGCGGAGATGGCGACAACGGCGGCGACGTTCACGGAGACGGCGACGGCGACAGAGACAACGACGGCGACGGAGATGACGACGACGACGACGGCGACGGCGACGGGGACGACGACGACGGCCGCAGCAACGACGACGGCAACGATGACGGCGACGACGACGCCGACCTCGACCTCGATGGAGACGGCGACGGATATGGAGACGGAGATGGCAAAAGAGACGGAGATTGCGACGGCGACGGCGACGGTCGCGACGACGACGACGACGACGACGACGACGACGACAAGGACGACGACGACGACGACGACGACGACGACGACGACCACGACCACGACCACGACCACGACCACGACCACGACCACGACCACGACCACGACCACGACCACGACCACGACCACGACCACGACCACGACGACCACGGGCGCGGCCGACGACAACGACGACGACGACGACGACGACGACGACCACGACGACGTCGACGACGCCGACGACGACGACGTCGAGGATAACGACGACGAGGACGACGAACACGAGGTGTTTGTGCCTTGCAGGAAGGTATCGTGTGTACGAAGACGGGCCCTCCGGGTTTACTTTTCGGTGTGCGGCCTGCCGGGTGCCCTCCCTGGGCTCCAGGGCCGTCGGATAACCACCCAGGTTGGACAAGCGTTTCCGGGCAAAGCTTCAGGGGCCAGGGCCAGTTTCGGTGGGGGCGTTGGTCAAGGAATGTGCCCAGGAGGCTCCAGACCCTGGAGGATTTCTTATCTCATGAGGGCGGTAGCGATACCCATGGCCAATCCACAAGTGGAATTCCGCTGGCTTCCAGACACTGGATTCCTTATCCAAGATTTCATTATCCAATGCCTCCGCCGTACCAACAGGCACAACAAGCAGACGATGTCGTTGTCGTGCCGGAGCTTGTTGGGAGCATGTCGGGCGGTCCTCGCCGCAAAGGCTGGGCGGCGGCTCGGGAAGCTGGCCAGCATAGGCCCTGGCAGGGAAGGGGTCTGGTTACCGCTCTGGGGAGATGTTGACCATATGGAGAGGGAGGAGGAGGAGGAGGAGGAGGAGGAGGAGGAGGAGGAGGAGGAGGAGAAACAGGCAGGATGAGGACCTGGATTAGGAACAAGAGGAGCAGGAGGAGGGCCAGAGGAAGCCCAGGGTGCATCCGCGGTGCTGCAACACATCCTCCGGTCCAAGGTCCCCTCGTAAGAAGTCCCTTCAAGCATGCCTGCGCACTGCGGGAAGTCCCCGCCTTGAAGGACGACAGCCCTATGAGCCTGCCTGCAGTGCGAGAATCGAGACCCCGTTTCGAAACGGAAACAGCCTCCCGCTTCTCAAGCTATGAAACATGCAGCTGGGTAGGATAAGACGAAAAGTCAGAGGAAAATGTCCAACGATAGTTCCGCTTAGAGAGAAGATCACCCTCCATCCGTATGAGTCTTGCACACGTCTACCTAGCGAACATCCAGCGATAGCTCAACTTTTAAAATGAGCCGCCGTCCATGTGTGTAACCGTTGCACATTGTTCGGCTTCTTGTCGTCGAGCGTGGGCAGAGTTTAAGCGACAGCACGTTTTTTTGAACCCGCCCGCCTCCAATCCTTGCAACCAGTGGAAGGTTGAGCAGAAATGTGGGCGGCGCTCCAGCGAAAGCCACATTTTGAAGATCGCCCGCCTTCCGTCTTTATGGCCAGCGGACAGGTGGAAGGACGAATTCGGGTCGTCAATCAGTTTCAGCGTTCGGAGCTGCACCAAGAATGCGCGCGGTATTAAGGCAAAAACCACATTCGGAAACCATCTTCCGACCATTCGGAAACCAATCTCTGATTTGTAAACAGATAACATGTGCCGGAGGCGTTCAAGACTAATGAGTACAGCGTTGAGGCGATAGCCGAGAGCCACATGTGATAACCACTCGACTTACACTTTTACAGCTGGTGCAAAAGGCGAAAGCGCATGTGCGCGGCGCAACAGCGAGAGCCACATTTTTAAAACTAGCCGGCATTTCATTGCTTGTAAACGTTTACTCTGGATTGCTTAATAATCGCCTCCCCCTTGGAGTGCCAGGGGGGGTTTGCCGCGGCGCGTCCGCGGGGGGGGCCAGGGGGGGTCTGGGGTTCGTTCCCTTCCCCGCTGGGGCGCGGGGGTGGTGCCGAGGGGGGGGGCGCGCCGCGTTTGCACGCTTGTCACTCCCCAAGTTGGTTAAAAAGAAGTTCGGAGTAGGCATGTTGTGTTTAATGCGCTCGGCGCTGTGGCAGGAGCAACATGTTGAAAACCATCCGCCTGACATGTCTGCAAATGTCTAAATTTTGCACGGCGAATGTGCGCGGCGCTGAGGCGAGACCAAACAAACACGCCCTCCACCCTTGCGACTCATTGACGCTTAAAAGATAAATGAGCGCGCCTCTGAGGCGAGAGTACATTCCACTCGTGCAATGCTGGGGAACTTCAAGCTTCAGGGTCCATAAGTGTCAGAGGCGAAACGCCTAGCCCGCCCTGCCGAAACGCTTGGTGGCGCGACATGCAGGAGCTGATCAGAAGGAAGAGGGGGTGTGGGAAGGACGACGAGGGGGTCGAGTTGTTCTGCACCTCTGCGTTTTCTGATGCCTCCAGATGCCTTGAAGAAGTTACTGGGGCCTCCGCGGCCTTCGGGATCGGCGAGAGACCTCCGGGGACCCTCCGAGGAGGAGCGGGGATGAGGGAGGAGGGGCCTGACGCTCTGGGCATTGTTCCCGCTTCCTGCGGCGCCCTCGTCGCAATTTCTGGACTCGCCCCGACGTCCTGGTGAGAAGCTTGCTCGCGGACGGGTCCAGGGGTCGACCGGGGGGGGGCCAGAGGCCAAGAGGTCCAGGCGTCGCGAAGCAAATAAAATCCACGGTGGGTGCTCGTATCTCCGAGACGGGCTGCTGGCGGGGCCGTGCTCGGACCCGATGGCAGTCAACCAGACAACGATCCCCGTTGAAAGCCCAGGCCAAGAGATACGATCCCAGCTATCCGGATAAATGATGAGAGCTCCAACGAGTGATCAAATCTCGAGCAGTCGAGTTTCAGCCACCGGGGTTGAGGGCGTCATGGCGCGCATCGCAAACAAGAATTTGCGACGTCGGAGGGCGGGGGGCGCTCAAGAATGACCGAACATACCCCCTCCCGCATCGCCCAAGTTACATGTTGTATGTGTGTGTTTTTACGTCTTGTTTCCCTAGGACCGGATATATTTGGCTGATTCTTGGGCCACCTTGCATGCGGAGGGGCGACCGTTCGCGGACGCAGCACTCGACCAGCTGCGGCAACTGCATACGTTGACAGCGGTAAGAGGTTGTCAAGGTATTTCTTGGCAGCTGCCAGGAATGCATGTTTTGACAGCTGCGACGGCTGTACATTTCGAAGTTGATCAGCTTGCAAAGGCTGCGGTGGACTCTGACGGCGAGCTGGTTCCTGCAGCCCTCAGAGTGGTCCGCCTGTCCATAGTTGTGGCAAAGCTCGCCACTGTGATTTTTTATAGGTTTCATAGATGGGGTCGGGGGATCGCGCCGCATCGCCGATGCGGCAGCAATGCGACTCGATGTGGAGCCCGATTTTCTCCACGCCGATGGCGCCGATGCCTCGCCGACGTCGCCGATCCATCGCCGATGTATCGGCGATGCGGCGCGATCCTCCGACCCCATCTACTCCGACCCCATCTAGGAGGCCTCTTCTGTTTCTTGTCGCATTGTTCCTGTACATACTGGCGGCTGGAACGCCGCAGTTCCACTCCGTGCACGACCTCTCGAGGACTTCTTGCCCGCGCTTGGGACGCAGACGTCGGGCGTCCCGATGTTATTCGAGACGCGGGCCCCCGGCTTCTCGATCACTTCCCTGGGGCTGGTTCTTCATCCCGAGTAGGTTTTTTTATGTCAGAAAGATACTTTCCGGGTTGGGAGGATGGGGTTGGGAGAAATGAGGGTACCATTACCCGTAGGCGGTCCAAGGTATCGTGCATTGCACCCGAATGCCATCACTTTTACCCTTCGTACTCCCTGCCCCTTCCTTCCAATACGGTAATTGTCCTCATAATGGTCCGAGGCCTGGCGAGGGCCCCGAGAGAGGCCGAAAACGATGCAACAGCCCTGGCCTGGTTTTTCGAGACGCCCAACGTCTGGGAAGCAGGAGCAGCCCGACCTCCGGCGAGACGGTCTCTGTCGCACGCGGCCCCAGCAGCTCTCGCACCCTCTGCCGGGGGGACCCGCCCTCCACCCTGAGCCGTCGTCGGGCGGCCTCCGGCGCCATGACTGTCCCACGACCTGCGAAGAAGAGAAAACGCCGTAAATATAAATCGGGCCGGGCGAAAGGCGGGGATTGGGAAAGGGGGGGTTACGAAATTTGCTGCGTGCAGCTGGTTTCGGCCCCTCCGAGGGGCCCATTCCTCGATGCATAGCCGCCTCCGGCGCCGGGAGGCGTCGGGAAAATCAGCTACGGGAGCTGATTCTCAAACCCCCCCTTTGCTATCCCCCCCTTTCGCCCGACCCGAATAAACTTTTGGCGCTCGGCTCGGAGTTCTTGGATCCGCGCTGGGCCCCCCGGCGGCGCCTCCGGCGCCGCCCCTGGCGCGCTCCGCGCGCCAGGGAGGGGGGTCCAGGGTCCAGCGCAGATCCACGAGATCCGCGCAGAGCGTTGTTATTATTGTTTTTGTTGGTTATATTGTTGTTGTTGCTGATGTCGTTGGTTATGTTGTTGTTATTGTTGTAGTTGCTGTTAGTGTTGTCAGTATTGTTATAGTTGTTGCTGTTGGTGGTGGTGGTGGTGTTGTGTTATGTTTGTGATTGCTATTGCTTTTGTTATTGTTAGTGGTGTTGTTGTTGTTGTTGGTGTTGCTGGTGTTAGTGCTATCGTTTTCAGTGATATTCCCCAGTCAGTGCTTGCACAGAAGGGGTCCTAGCGGAGGTTGGAAAATGTGGCGAAAGTTTCCCGCCGATTTTGGTAGCAGGCTGGGTTCCCAGGTTCCCGGTTCCGGGTTCCCGGGTTCCCGGTTTTGGGTTTCCCGCCGATTTCGGTGGGCGGCGGGGTTTCCGGGTTCCCGAGGTCTTGGTCGATCTTCTTATCGATCATCTGATCAAGAAACCCCCTCCCGAGAAGCTGGGCCAGCGCTTCTCAACCAACTTGCCTGAAGGCTGGCCGAGTCTCTTGAGTGCGCTCGCCCTTTCCAGCGTCAATGCGCACACTCGGCCCAGGCTTGCCTTAAAAACTTCGGAAAGCTGGCCCAGGTTTCTTGAATGAGAGTTTTGACGGACGAGCAACACACACCCACACGCATAGGGGGGGCGGAGGGGGCTATGGGTGCTTGTTGTCGGACGGGGGCCCCCGTTCGAACGGGAACCTCCCCGAGGGTCCGACAGCCCGCACCCGTACCCATCCGACCCTCCTATCGGTGTGGGCGTGGGTATCGGTGTGTGCTGCTCGTTCGTCAGATTTTCTTTATCACGTTTTCGACCGTACGCTGTCCACGACCCCTTGGCGTGCGCCCCCCCAGAACATCTCTCGGAGGCCGCGCAAGATGGGGGCACTTCGAGGCGACTCCAGCGGTGGCGACGGGGGCCTCCCAGGAGGCCCGAAGCGGGGACAACGAGGGAAGAGGCCCTCACCGGTCGGAAGAGGGAGGCAGACACACGAAGCAGCAAGTCGTTGAGCACAGATTGGGTGTCCGCCCGCCCCCTGGAGAGGACGGAAAAGCGTGAAGCCTCTCGATCGCTGAAGCAGGGCGGCGCCCCAAGAAGACTGGAATCTGGGGGGGGGGGGGGCCACGGACGCGAGGGGAGCGAGGGCTGCAGAACGGCGGCCCTGGAGAGGGGCCCCATCAAGGGGGGGCCCTCTCCAGGGCCCCCAAAGGGGGGCCTGAGGGGAGGGGGCCCAAGGGGGCCCCCCCTCAGGGGACCCTGAGAGGGGGCCCTGAGGGAGGGCCCCCAAGGGAGCCCTGAGGGGGGGCCCCCAAGAGGGCCCCAAAGGGGGCCCTGAGGGGCCCTCTTTGGAGCGCCGACGCGCCCTCCCGCCCCCCCACGGGGCGGAGCGGCGCGCGCTTTGGCGCGCTCTCCGGGGCCCGCCCGGGAGAGCCCCCCGCGGGCCCGCAGGAAAAGCGCGGGCCCCCCCGGGGGCGAGACGCGGGCCTCCCCGCGGAAGGGAAGCCGAGCCTCTCGGGTCGTCGTCGTCGTCGTCGTCGTCGTCGTCGTCGTCGTCGTCGTCGTCGTCGTCGTCGTCGTCGTCGTCGTCGTCGTCGTCGTCGTCGTCGTCGTCGTCGTCGAGGCGCTGAAGCGCACAGTCAAGGCGCTGAAGTACAGTCCACGCGCCTAGGCCTTCATCTAGGATGCCCTTGTGTCCTTGCTTCTGTGGCCCGTCCTTTGCCGTTTTCCCTGGTCGCCCGCCGCCCAGAAAATCCCGACTTCGGCCTCCAGGGGCCCTGGGTCCTCGCCACCTGTCCTTCATACACGTCTTGAATGTGAGGGTACAGCCAGGGCCCTGAAGAAGGAACCCTTTTCGTTGGGGAGGGGCTCCGCGTTCCTTAAGTGTTTCGCAGCTTGCCTCAGGTGTTCCTTATGTTTTCGATCGGACATCGAAGTTTAACTTATGGAAAAAAGAGGCCTCGTTCCTTATTTTGGGCTCCTTAGGTCAAGGCCCCGACTGTACCCTTTTGGGCGCAGGATGGGGCTCGGGTTTGGGGGGACACCCCTCAGAGCTAGGTCGGGGAGCCCATTCGTGGCCAGGGCTCGGGCTTTTGGGCCCTTCCTTAGAGCTCGGGCTTTTGGGCCACCCCTTAGAGCTCGGGCTTTTGGGGCTCAGGAAGGGCTCGGGCTTGTGGGCCACCCCTCGGAGCCAGGTCGGGGGACCCGTTCGCGGCCGGGGCTCGCCGTGGGCAGGAGAGCCCCCTCGTTCCCGATCTGGCGCTCCTTCTGGCAGCGCGTCGACCGCATCGTCGGTCCTCTGGGGGTGCAGAGGAGGAGGAGGAGGAGGAGGAGGAGAGGAGGAGGAGGAGGAGGAGGAGGGGAGCAGGGGAGGAGGAGGAGGAGGAGGAGGGGAGGGGGAGGGGGAGCAGGAGGAGGAGGAGGAGAGAGGAGGAGGAGGAGGAGGAGGAGGAGGGAGAGAGGAGGAGGAGGAGGAGGAGGAGGGGGCGGAGGGGAGGAGAGAGGAGGAGGAGGAGGAGGAGGAGGAGGAGGAGGAGGGGAGGAGGAGGAGGAGGAGGAGGAGGGGAGGAGGGGGAGGGGGAGAGGAAAGGAAGAGGAGGAGGAGAGGAGGAGGGAGGGAGGAGGAGGAGGAGGAGGAGGAGGGGGAGCAGGAGGAGGAGGAGGAGGAGGAGGGGGAGGAGGAGGAGGAGGAGGAGGAGGAGGAGGGAGGAGAGGAGAGGGGAGGAGGAAGGAGGAGGAGGAGGGGAGGAGGAGGAGGAGGAGGAGGGGAGAGGAGGGGAGGGGGAGAGGAAAGATGAGAGGAGGAGGAGGAGGAGGAGGAGAGAGGGAGGAGGAGGAGGAGGAGGAGGGGGGAGCAGGGGGAGCAGGAGGAGGAGGAGGAGGGGGAGGAGGGAGGAGGGGGAGCAGGAGGAGGAGGAGGAGGAGGAGGAGGAGGGAGGCAGGAGGAGGAGGGAGGAGAGGAGAGGAGGAGGAGGAGGGGGAGGAGGAAGAGGAGAGAGGAGGAGGAGGAGGAGGGGGAGGAGGAGGAGGAGGAGGAGGAGGAGGAGGAGGAGGGGGAGGAGGGGAGGGGGAGAGGAAAGATGAAGAGGAGGAGGAGGAGGAGGAGGAGGAGGAGGAAGAGGAGGACCCCGAGATCCAGGAGTCACACTTTTTGCCACGCCGAGTGTCTTCCTTCGCCCGGTCTCGGGCCCCACAGGACCCCAACGGATCGACTGGGCCAGGCACATCACCAACACTGCCGCCCCAAACCCCGAAAAAACGCGAGCCCCAAGACACGGCGCAGGCTCCCTGCGATTCACTGGGGAGAGTGATTTCCGAGGGGGGGAGGGGGGCTGCGTGGGGAGCAAGGGCGAACGCAGACCACACCCTGAGATCTTCAGCAGTCGATCCCCGACTCCTTTGTCATCAGCGGTTCGGGCATCGGAGTACAGGGGAGACCCACGCCAAGAAGCATCCTGCTTGCCTCCAGGGTGCCCTGGGTTTCTTGGCTTTCGATGGTTTTGCCGTGGAAGGCGTGACGCTCACACACCAAAAGTCAGTGGACGTCCTGGGGTCTCGGGGTTGGGTTTCTTGTGGAAGGTCTCTTGTGGTCGAGCCTCTACTGTATTGTCTGCTCTTGGTCGGAAGATCCCGCGGAAAGATAGTGTCTGGAGCTCCCGGCGCTTTGCCGCGGCATCGCACTGCCTGCACACGCCGTCGACCTTCAGGGACGCGCTCTCCCGAGAGGAACTCGCCCCCCGGCTTACAGTCGGGGCGCTGAAGAAGGAACCCTGTTCGTTGGGGAGGGGCTCGGTGTTCCTTGATTGTTTTACAGTGTGCCTTGGGTGTTTCTTAGGTTTTCCATGGTAAGTCGAAGTTTTGCTTATGGAAAAAAGGGGCCTCGTTCCTTAATTAGGGTTCCTTAGGTCAACGCCCCGACTGTACATCGCTCGCCTTCGGTGGGGAAGGCAGGCGGACAGCCGCAGCAGTAAGAGCGGCGGCAGGTGGGAAGCGGCGGAAGTAAAGCAGGCACTCCGAGGAGGACATCGAAGACGAAGGCTCCGCGCTGGGCCTCCCCGACGGCGCCGGAGGCGCCGCCCCCGGCGCGCTCCGCGCGCCAGGGAGGGGGGTCCAGCGCAGATCCAAGAAATCGGGGCAGGGCACCGAAAGTTCATGTTTATGGCATTACTATTTTTGTTGTTCTTATTTTTCTTCTTCTTCTTCTTCTTGATACCCCTACCCTTCCCTCGTTTTCGCCTGTTCGGGCCTCCTGGGAGGCCCTCGTCGCCATCGCTGGATTCGCTTCGAAATTCTTGTCAGAACGCACCCCGGGAGAGGTCCGGGGAGTGGCTGTATCGGTACCCTTGGGTTTCCCCAGGCACAGACAAGACGCTGAAAGAAAGAACAGCTTGGCTTGGAAACGTGACTTTCCCTCAAGCCCTCCTCATGCACGCTGGCGCTTTTGGGGCCAACAAGGGGCTCTGGTCCATATTTGCCATCCCTTACTTGAGTAGCCCAACGGTACGTCGACATGTTTGGATACGGCGTTTCTGGACTCGGCCCTGGAAAGGTGTTTGGACGGTGCTTGACCTTTTGAATTTCGTTCTGCCTGGGCTTCCGGAGGCCTCTCGGGACCTATTGGGACCCTTCCGTTTGTCTTGCCCCACTCTGCTCCACTTTGCACCGCCTTGTTCTGTCCTGCGGCTCCGCTCGCCTCCTCCACGCCGTCACCCCCTGAGATCCGACGTTGCACAACACTCCCGCATCGTAGGAAATCACGGCCGGAACCCTGGACCCCACCTCTACGCGGCACTTTTTCGAGCCAGATCGATCCGTGAGGGCCCCAGGGCCCGAAAGTGGGCCAGATCGAGCCGGTGCGAGAAAAAGTGCGACGCCCAGATCGCAGGGGCTCGCCTCCTCCGCGCTGTCCCCCCCCGTGCCCTGCTCCAGGGCGGGGCGGGCCTGTCTTCCAGTGCTTCGGTGGCAAGTCATGGGAGACTTGCGTGTCCTCGCAGCTCCGTCTTCAGAGTGCACCATAGCGTGCGCCAGCGTCTGGCAATCGAGGAGGAAGCGCTGGCTCAGTATCCATTAGCGTCGATTGGATGTCAACGCTCGTCGGCTCGCGTCGGGCAGCGTCGATCCGCAAGAGCCAGCCAGATGGCACGAGAGGCTCCCATGATCTGTTCCCGAAGGCGGCCTGTCTTCCAGTCCCGCGGCTCTCAGCGAAAGCGCGAGCCGAGGGCTGCATACGTGCACACGCGCCTGCGGTGGTGGGTGAGTGGGTCCGTGCGGGGCGACGCCTCTTCCCCGGCGGAGAAGCCTGCGGAGGGCGGCAGGGGTAAAGCCGGAGCGGGGCCGTACCCAGAAACTTGGGCGTCCCGGACAAATCTGGGCAGAGGTCTCTCATAGCTGCCAGGCTTCTCGGGGCCATCCCCGGGCCTCGGGACCTTCAGAAAACGACCCGGGAGGAAGCCCCGGTCCCAGGGAGGTGTGGTCGAGAAGTCGGGGGCCTGGCCCGTGTCTCGAGATCATCGGGGCGCCGGGACGTCTGGGAGCACGCGAACAGCAGCGTCCTCAAGGTATGCAGCCGTTCCCCTAGACAGCTTGTCTGCAAGGGCTCTAGACACGTCGTCTGACGCCCGGCGCGGGATGCCGGGCCGCCGAGGTCGGTGGCCCATCGTGGCCTGCCTGTCGTGAGTAGGGTTGTGGAGGACGATCAACGGAGAGGCAGCATGCTGCCAAATAGTTTCCAGATTTCTAAAGCATGTGTTGCACATGCTGTAAGCAGTAAAGGAAACATGTTTAAACCATGTTTAGGACATGCTCCGACATCTTGAACACACAGGCTAGATTCGATGATAGGACTGTTAGGGTGTCCACTGCCGTGGCATCCACAAGAATAGGGCACCTTGCCGCAAGGGTGTCACATGAGCGAGGGAAGGCAGCGGTGCCGACTGCGCCGGCCTTCGCGCGTAAGCTTCCCGCGCAAGGCCGCGCGCAAGCGCCCTCTTCTCTCCGAGCCGTGTGCCGCCCTGGCGGCCCGCGTAAGCCACCGCAGGAGGTCGCCGTGTCATCTCGCGCAGGACCTGGTGGTCTTCGTCCCTCCTGTGTTTGATTCGCTCCCTTGTTCCTCTTCTCGCATGCCGGCCAATTATCAGCCATTCGGCTGCCCCGCGTTGCCACACGCTGGAGCGGAAATTGCCTCTGCCTCGCCGCCGACGGCAGAGTCTGTTTCGGCTCAGGAGTTCCAGAGCCTGCGTTGTGGAAAGGAGTCTGCGAAAGTAACCAGCACCAGCACTTGGCCTCCCGTCCTGGCCAGAAGTCGGGCACGTCCCTCTACAGGAGGAATATTCCAAACTAGTCAAGGAATAGTTTGGGGACAATTGTTTTACCATTTTTGATGTTGTTTGAGCATTTCTTGATTACTTTCATTTTCCCAAAAAATCCGCCTGCAGGGGGACATGCCCGATCTAATCCTGGCCTGGAGCCGACATGGCACATCCCTGCGCTCGCAACGGAAGGGTCCAGCTCCCCACGGGCCAGCGCGTCCTTCCCGTGATGCCCATCTGGGCGTGCGTTTGGGAGGCCCCGGCCTACCGCCGTTTGAGGGCCTGGCGCAAGCAGTGGTCGCACGCCGCCAGCTGCGGTGCCGCCCCGCACGCCACCATCGGCGATATCGGCACCTCGTTCGCTGGCTGCTCCGTGAACGTCGCCGCTGCCCGTCTAGCATTATGCCACTGCCATGTTGTTCGGCACATTCACGTGTCGGTATCCTGTTCCCCGCGCGAATGGCCCCCCCAGGGCAGCTCATGGTCAGTGGACGGCATCAACCGCGTAGCGCGTGGCGCCTCAGTCGTTGAGCATTGCGCTCGTCGGCGACAATAACTCCTGGGGGAAACGTAGACCCCCGCCCCCGATACAGCGACATTCCACCGAAACCGATTCGGTAGTATTGGCATTATCGTCTGGAAGAGCCTTGAATCGAACAGGAGGCGTTTTTGATTGGAGCCGTTGTGAGGCGGAGGGACGACCTGGGGATGGTCACGGCGACGAGGATGCGGAGGAGGAGGAGGGGGGGACGAGGCCACGAGCAGGCAGGAGCGGACAGGGGGAAGAGCACGAGCACGGGTCAAGGCAGGGGGGGGGCAAGGGAAGGCAGGTGCTGCAGGAGGTGGAGAGGAGAGGCAGGAGCGAAGAGGGGGAGCGGAGGAGCGAGGCAGAGGGGGGGAGCAGGGAACGTAGGGGGGAGCAGGGAGGAGGGAGGAGCACCGCCAGCGGCAGGCCCAGAGAACTCGCAGCATCGCGGAGCCAGCGGCGTCGAGCAAAACGTTTTCGGGAATTTGCAGAGTTCGCCCCGCAGTGCGGATATCGGGCGACCACCTCGTTGTCCGACCCCCCCTCGAAATCAAACGCACACATTTCAATGCTGATGGACGCGCGCAGCGCGGCCCCTGGGGTCAACAGCAAAACTTGCAGTCGCCAGCATCGGCGTCGACATTGAAATTGGGGGCCCAGGGGCGTCGCCCTGTCGCGTGAAAAAGTTGTGCTTGTTTGCGAGGAGGGATGCAGGACTGTCGGGGATATCCTGCGCCATTGTTCGTTGCCAACACAATGGTTCCGCATACTGTCGGTTTATTGCCAGCGGTGCCTCGGTCTACGGCGGCGTGTAGGAAGTGGGCGATGGCGCCGCTTTCCCTGCGTCGTGGCGCGAAGCCCCCCTCCCCCTGGGGCACGGCAAGATGCGTCGATGCCTTCGCGCGCGTTGCGAAGAGGAAGCGAAAGCATCGGTTGATATGTGAGAGGGAAGTGAGCCCAGCCGACCCCCGACGCGGGGTCTAAGCGCACGTCTCTGTCGTGCGCGTCGCCTGGTTGCGCCTCACAGTTCCCATACGATCCTGAAATGGCTTCTGGCAGTTGTGCCAGGGGCGGGGCCTAAGTTCCTTACTCAAGTAACTCCGCGGCCCCCGCCGCCGCCGGGCTCGAAGTCTCCCTGCGCGAAACCGTCCGGCTTGATGAAATCCCAATGCTGCAAAATCCACTTGGGCAGAGTCGTCGGGTAGGCCTCGGGCCCAGCCCTGTTCGACCAGGTTCCAAAGTTGCTCCGGCACGGCGCCCCCTTCCGCGCCCGTTCCAGGGTGGCGCTGGCCGGGTCCCGCATCCACGCGGCTCCTGCCCCCGAGCTCCACGAGCTCATCCTGGCTGACGCCGCCGACGCCCGCGTCGCCGAAGCACAGGCAAGGCTCCCGTGTGTCGCCCGGCTGCCAGGGAGCGTGGAGGGCAAGGCCAGGGCCGCCCGGCCCCTGGTCGCCAGCGCCCGCCGCCGCAGCACCGGCGGGCAAGCCCCCAGCGAGAGGCGTCGGGCTGCACACGGCCAGACTCTCTGCGCTGCCCTCCGCCCGCGAGGCGGCGCGTGGCTCTCTCTCTCTCTCTCTCTCTCTCTCTCTTTTTTTGTTGTCGGCGTGCTGCTCGCTGCGTGCGCCCCCAGGGCGCGCACGCGACCTGCGAGCCACCACGCAGCGCGAGGGCCTGCCCGCGGTCCGTCGGCAGGTTCCCGTCCAGCCCAGCATGGGGGCGGGCCAATCGGGCCTCTTTGGCAGATTGTCGCGCAGCCAGACTGGTCCTGGCCCCCACTCCACCGCATGCGCAGCGAGTCTGAGACCCCGACCCCAGTGATTGCATGAGTCCCGTTGGAAGCGCAGTCTTTGCCAAAGGCCAATGCAAAGTGATCGCGGGGCGCCCGCGCATGATTCGGATTTTGCCGCAAAGTGGGCTTCGTATTGTTTTGGGGCCAGGAACCGCGAGCCTGCACAGGGCAGTCAGTTCGATGGCACCACCGCCCGTCGTCCCCTCTGTCAAAACCAATGCAACATGATCGCGCGGCGCCCGCGCGCGAGCCAGCCTGTGCCACACAGTGTGTTTTGCACTGTGTGCTTGAAAACGGTGGTGGATCTGCGCAGAGCTGACATTTGGGGGGCACCGCCGCCGTCCCTGTCAAAAACCATGCCAAGTGTATATGCCGCCGGACCCCTAAAGAAAGCACGGGCAGGGCGAGAAAATCTTGAAGGCATGCTGGAGTCTCGCGGGATGCCTCTCAGCAGCCTCTTGGAGCGTGTGCCGGGGCATCTGGGGGCCTTTTGGTGCCTTTGGGGGCCTCTTGGGGGGCATCTTGGAGGGCTCTTGGGCCATCGTGGGGGCGGCCTGGGCGTCTCGGCGCTCGTCGACGTGCTCGATGTACGGGCCCCCAGGCCCCCCGACTCCCCATGGCGGCACCCGGGTCCTGAGGGAAGCGGGTCCGGAGGCGTCTGGCCCGAGAGCGGGCCCCAAGGAGGGTCAGAGGACGGCTCGGGAGGAAGATCTCGTCCTGGGGGAAGGCCCTCAGGGTCCCAGACCTCTTTCCCTCAGGGCCCGTCCCACACCCCCCCCTGCTTGCAGTCGGGCCGCCGAAGAAGGCAACCCTTTTCGTTGTGGAGGGGCCCAGTGTTCCTTCTCATTCTTTTACGCCGGTTTCCCATGGGACATCGAAGCTCAAGTTATGAAAAAAGGGGCCTCGTTCCTCGTTTCGGGATCCTTCACACAGAGGTTCGACTGTATCGACCCTTGCCCGAGAGAACTGCGTGCTTTTGAAGCCGGATCCGGCTTCAAAGGACAGCGGTTCGGTTGTATCGACCCTTGCCTGAGAGATCTGCGTGTTTTCTGAAGCCGGGCCCGGCTTCAAAAACACGTGTTTTTGGAAGCCGGATCCGGCTTAAAAATATTGCGTGTTCTTGAAGCCGGCTTGAGAGATTTGTGTTTCTTTTGTTAAGCCGGATCCGGCTTCAGAAACATGGGGCTCTCCAGGGGTTCCTTAGGACAGCGGTTCGATTGCATCGACCCCTGCCCTGGAGCCTGCGCTGCAGCGAAGTCGGGCGTGTCACTCAACAGGAGGAAGATTCCAAAATAGTATCAAAATAGAATGGGGACGATTTGTTTTACTGTTTTTCTATTCTTTCGTAGTATCAGTAATTTGTTTTCCGGGTCGTACCCCTGGTACCCCTGGCCAAGGTGCCCCCAGCTTTTCGCGCCATTTTGGAGCCCCTGGGGTCCTCTGGGCCTCGTGAGGGGTGCCCTGGAGGCCGCCTGGGCCACCCCGAGAATCCTGGGGGTACCTTGGGCCAGGGATACTCCTAGCAACACCCGATATTTGTCGTCCAAAATCCGCCTGTAGTCAGAGCCCCGAATCATCAGGGGTAACTCGGGTCAGGGTTAGCTCGGGTTCGTTTTTCGGGAATCCGAACCCGAGTTACCCCGGACCCGAGTTACCCCGGATAATTCGGGCGTCCAGAGCCCCACATCATCAGGGGTAACTCGGGTCAGGGCTAACTCGGGTTCGTTTTTCGGGAATCCGAACCCGAGTTGCCCCGGGCCCGAGTTACCCCGGATAACTCGGGCGCCCAATGTAGGGGGGCATGCCCGGCCCAGCCCGAGCCCCAGACCCCCCTCGCGTCGTGGAGCGGCCGCGGCGGCAGGCGCTTCCCCGGGCCTCGGCCTCGCAGGGGGCCCTCCCTCGCCAGGCGCCCTTGCTCGGACCGTCGACCGGGAAGCGCCCCGGGGGGGGGAGGCGGCCCCCGGGAACAAGGGGGCGCCCTGGAGGGCGCGAAGTGGTTCGCGCTTATCCTCCTCCTCCTCCTCTCCTCCTCCTCCTCCTCCTCCTCCTCCTCCTCCTCCTCCTCCTCCTCCTCCTCCTCCTCCTCCTCCTGCTCCTTCTGCTCCTCGCGAGGCGCGAAGTCAGGCGCCCCTGCGACCTCATGGGGCCCACGTCGTGGATCGATCACGTCGTCGGGGGCATGGGGCACAGTGGAGGGGGTGGACAGCACCCCACCCTGACATGTCGATTTTGTGAATTGTCCTATTTCGGTTCTCGCGAGGGCGCCGCGGCCATCATTTTCCAGGCTTGCGCCCGCCAGGTTTGGGCCCGAGATCGTTCTCACCAAGCCACGTTTTACTAATGGAGGTTCCGTTCATCCCCGAACAGTGGGGACCCATGCCAAGAAACACCCTGGTTGCCTCCAGGGTGCCCTGGGTTTCTTGTGTTTCGATGGCTTTGCTGTGGAGAGCGTGAGG